GAAGACAATAATCTGTCGACCAATCGCTTGTAGTCCTGGAATATGACGTCATATTCGCGAACGCATTCTTCCGGAGCGTTGTCTTCGAACACTTCGCAAACAGAATCGGCTTTCAATTCACAGAACAACACAGAAAAAGACTTACCGACGGACTTGTTCTCAATGAACGACTGAATGGTGAGGTTCCAAACGGGTCCTCTCAAGAAGCCCACCAAAGAGTCCAGAACCCAACTCTCCTCCTCTTCTTTGGCCACAATTTCACTCATCTTTCGACAGAATAATGTTTTTTCTATTTTAGTGTAAATTTAATGCATTTTTCATTTGAAGAAATGTTTTGTTTTGCGTTTGGATCGTAACTAAAGGAGATTTAAGTTTTGTTTTGTTTACGCTTTTAATGACTTTTTGTCACGAAATTCTCGTTTTCTCCTTTTCTTTCACAAACTTTTCGACAATTTTTTCGCATTTCATTCAGAATTCAATTTTTTGTTCATTTTTTGCAAAAAATTTAATTCAAATCCGAAATAAATTCAAAACTTTTTGAATAAATGAAACAAAAAGTCGAATAAAAAGCCGTTATTTCTGAACGAATCATTGATTTATTGGAAAAATTGTTCAAAACATGCGATCAGGAAATGGCGTTACTTTAAGAGGGGTGGGGAGAGACGGCTCGACACCCGTTGTGGTCACGGCTCGGGCTCTGAGGCCGCGGTTTGGGATCAGATGTGTTTCAGACGCGCACTCAAGACGTGAAGTGATTGACGAGACGGCGATTGTGTCGTTTGGAAGCGTCGGAAGGGAACGGAAAGGAAGGGCTGTTCGCAAAGTGTGTGACGAAAGTGTGTGACAATAGAAGTGGACATGTGTTTCGGGTTTTGGCCACTGAATGGCCGCTCAAAGGGGTTGTCTCGCGACGAGTGATTGAGTGACGCAATGCTTGGGAAGTGTGAAGACGTGTGAATCAATTGCGGCGACCAATGCCTGAGTTGTGAGTGCTGTGAGAGTTGTGAGCGTTTAGGCGATCGCTGATTGGCTGCCACTGAGTGAGAGCC